TTTAGTAGAGACGGGGTTTCACCATGTTGACCAGGATGGTCTCGATCTCTTGACCTTGTGATCCACCCGCCTCGGCCTCCCAAAGTGCTGGGATTACAGGCGTGAGCCACCGCGCCCAGCCCAGCTTGTGTAATGTTGATGAATATCTGTATCTTATGGCTTCCATAATGGCTAGTTGATATTCAAAAACCTCTTTCTGTGTTTTGAGGGGTTGGGTTAAAAAAGGCATATTGCTTCCAGATTCTGATGTGTGAGGGAAAATACTTTCACAATGAAAATCTTGACAATTTACTGTAACAAGTAACCAATAGTTTATCAAAACCAACTAGTACAGACTAATAAATCTTTTTCACAGTATTCAGTTTTCTCAGCTCTTGCTATTGTATATTGTATATTGTATATATTTTCTTTTTTTATTTTTATACCCACATCCCTTTTTTTTTTATGTATAGAGGATATTTTTTCACTCATGTGTTATTTAATTTACATCAATCTTCGCTATTTTAACTCCCCAAATAAGTTATTTGTCCTTTAAGGTTGGTTACTATAATACTTAATTTCTGGGCAGTTTGTTCTCTGTATACAATTGCAAATGATAAGCATTTTAGTGAGTGACCACCTTTGCAATATGTTTGTTAATGGATTTACTTCATGTTGGGTTCTTTCTGAAATGCACATCTTCACATATAAAAACCTCATATTCTACTTGATTTTACACTTCTTAGTCTATGTTACATGTGGTTGAAGGTTTTTTTTTTTTAAAGACGGGATTTCACCATGTTGGTCAGGCTGGTCTTGAACTCCCGACCTCAGGTGATCTGCCCGCCTTGGCCTCCAAAGTGCTTGCATTACGGGTATGCGCCACTATGCCTGGCCTGGTTGAAGGTTTTATACATTCTACATGCTTTTACTAAATATAAAATATTTACTATTAGAAATTTGGAGAAACAACACTAACACATATACTTGTGACTTGCTCATGTTACATTAAAACTTGAGATTTGTGTATTTATGTAGTCTGTATTGACAAGACTTTTATGTTTAGGGTTTTTTGCTCCTTGAGCTAGATAATAATCTGTGTATTGGATTGTTGTCTTGATTTGGTCTAAATTTGAATACATAGGAATTACTTGAATATAACAAAAACGAATTTTGTTTGATAGATTTATATTGTAAC